TTGAAAATTTTTTTTTTTCAAAATATCGAAGAATACTTTAAATAAAAGTTGTAGATACTACTATTACCTACGGAAAAGTGATAACCATAAGAATACATGCAATTTTAAGTCATTATAATTTTTCAGAACATTTTTCGCATTTTTCATTTATGAGACTACAACAATAATTGGAAAGGAAAATGTGGGATCATGAATGAACGAATGCAGTTCGTATGCCACGGATTTCACGTTAATCATCAGACAAATCACATTTTAGCGCGTCTGCGGCTGAGGACAATCGTGGAGAGAATTTTATCTACTCACACGAGTTTGCGTGACGCTCAGTAAATCCATATCCGTGATTACTACACCGTGGACACAGGAACACTATCATAAAAAAATGAGTAAGCCTTATACGTGCAACACGCTGCCTAGTATCCTTTTACTAACAAAAGGAAGCTCACATTACTTCAATTTTCGTTTCATAAAATCGTACAAAAAATAATTGACAGAAGAATTAATGGATTAATGAATACGATTTTAGAATAAATGGCACCGAGTTGTTTAAGAAGGAAAGTACTGATAATTTTGGAACAGGTAAGACTACAAATATTTTTAATCTTTGGAAAACGATTGAATTAGTATAATCAGAATCTGGAAAAACTACAAATTCCTTACAAACTAATATAAATATTTTTACTCTTTGGAAAACGATCGAATTAGTATAAGCAGAATCTGGTAACAGTCTCTGCTTAGTACGGAGCGTTTGCGATTGGAACAATCGGTGGGATTCGACCCAGACGGTGACGTCGGAGCTAGGCGCCCGACGTCGATTCATCAGCAACGATAAGCTTCTTGAAAAATTGTATCTGCTCGTATTAATATCACCGCTTCGGGTCCAGTATCGGAGGAAAACGCCCGTGTTACACAATTAACGCCCGCATTCTGAATCGAATATGTACTTCATATTCTTGAACTGCCCCTGGGCATCCGTTTACCAACCAGGCAGCCAGAAACGCATGGAAGCGAACACGTGGAATCACGAGTAAAATTGCCCGAAGTAATGAATTGAACATTTAAATTGAGATCCAAGCAATATTCACTTTCTGCTCTCTTGTTCATCTACGATTAACATTCCGTCCACTTAAATCCGTTTAGGAATAATCGTAAGTATCATCAAAGCAATGGTAAAGCACTTTATAATTCTATACGTGATACGTTGCGTTTTTTACTACTTAGAGAACTGAACTGGCGGTCATCGAGCAAGCGGGATCATTTATTACTCGTCTACTTATTGACTGGAAGATATGTAAGTACACTATCGCGTTCTCGAGACCGGTAAACACACCAGTTTCTATTTTCTTTTCCAAATGTGAATAACCGTGATATAAATAGTACAGGTTCAACGTAATTGCAAAACGCGCTATATCAGTTCCCTGTTGCTCTCCGATACTAACAATAATGAACAATGCAAACCAACAATTATTTAATACTTTAATCATGATTTATAAAATTCATTTTTCAGTCAACGAAGCAGCGCGTGTGAATTCATGCGGTGAACGTGAGACACGATCAAAAGTCGACGACTTATAAGAATCATAAAATGATTTGGTTCAAGGGTTAACAGTGTCATCCTTCGCAATGATCTTGAATTAGTATCGCGGCCGTAAACAAGGCTGCGTCGTCTTGGCGGACGACATAAATTGAAATCGCGCCAGCCTGGCGTTAGTCACGAGCAGCTTTCTCATTTTCTTATCGGTTACAAGATGATCCTCGGCGACACGTCTCATTGTTACGCGGCCAATAATGATTTATGCGTAAGACTTTAATCTACCGGATATGCTATTCACGCTTCCCCCGTCAGAAACGTTGATTCATAACGAAATACACGCAGGGAATCTAGTCTGACGCATCGACGCAAAACGTATTTTGTCAAAATAACGTGGATCTCTATAACAAATGTCGGGGAGAGAAAGAGGGACAGAAGCGCAATTAACTGCGATATGTTGGACAACAAATGCGTTTTGATTGCACACGTCGATTGATAGATGATGAAAATTTTACACCAAAATAAAGCTCGTTCGTGTAGTCGGTGTTTGTTCCATGCATATTTGAATGCGTAACTGATACACAAAATACGTGCTTCCAACTGGAACGGAATCATTGTTTACCAGCGTGAAACATTCATATCACGATTCAAGGATTTTACGATATTAACTATATCCTTATTTTAATTGATGTGATTCAGATTTACAAACGTGCACAATTATTTGGACTTTAAATATTGTATTTATATACTTCGTAGCCTGGAAAGCGTTCGGCTTTCTGGATGTTCACAATTTATGTATTGGCTTTTCAGCAAAAATGATCTCGCCAGGCAATGAATGAAAATTTCAACCCGCTTCAAGACAAATTGAGGTAATGCAGTTGAACTTTATGGATATTTTAACTTCCACGTAACTGGGTCATTTTCGTGCACGGAAAATGATACGAAATTGTTATTCAGGAATATACATAATAAGTTTTCTCTTTATCAAACTGATGTACCTTTTACTTATAATAAATAATTTATACGTTCAATCGTGTGAAATTAATTATAATTCACGTATCAGCGTTGACCTTGGAGAACACGTGTTTGAATGTAGTATCATGTACCGTCGATAGAAGCAATCTGATTCCATACGTTTTCCGGGTCACCGTGAAAATTAGGTCAATATCAATTAAACTGGGTACGATAGCCCGAATTTATGTATATTTGAATGTGTAATCGGCGCGATTGAAAGTGATTTCATAACTAGATCAAATTATTAATTAGTAAGTTGAAATGTATAATACGGTATTAGTGTACTAACTTCTCCCGGCGTGCGTCATCATCTAAACCTTCCGGGCGGGTTGCTCTCGTTAAGGCGCAGAGACACAAACACACACGCACAGATACATAGTTCCCTTTTAGTAGCAGTGGATTATTTCGAGATATAAATATTTTTAAACTCATGGATTTGGATAACTTTTACTTTGGGAAACGCGAAATTTTCCCGGAATGCGGAACGCGGTGCGTTTTCAAAGGGACACAGTTTTATACATATACGTCGAACCGCGCAGGAGTGACCTAATAAACTCCTCAGGAGAGAATGAAAATTAGCAAATCGGGACAAGGCCATTTGAGGTGGTCCAGATGTTATCGAGTGCTCGTGTCCTTGCAATGTAGAACAACTGAACTGACCCGCGTCTCAGATAACGAAATTGCCACAGTAATAAAATAAGTACAATGATTTTTAAGAACCATTTTAATAAGAAGTATCTCAAACGTGTACAATAAAATTTTATAATCTCTTATTTTCACAATACTATTCTAAATTATCCTCCTTTCGAAATAGAATTTAAATCGTATTTCCGACTGTCTGTAATTAATTGCGCCTTGAATACCCAGTCCATTTCTGTTTAATCATGGGGTTCGTAGAACTTCCATTTGCATCTAATTAAACATGTTTACCATGAAACAAGAATAATCTAATACGTTTCCCGGGATACAGACGATAATTTGAAATTGGCACATCGACGTCTCACCGAATCCAGGTGAAGCGCTTGCGTATAAAACGCAGGACAGGGCGCGATGCACCGGAACCCGTCCTCACCTTTCCACGTAATTGGTGAAAAATTTTATCCAACAATATTCATGATCCTTTTTTTAAATAATATTTAATAACATAAAGCATCCGAAATAGTATTTCAATATTCTCGTCTTCATATTTCACGTTCTACTCTTCACCTAAAATAATAAATTTGCATTTTCAATCGTTTGAAATTATTCGTATTTAGAATATTTGAATAATTTGCGTTTTGAAACAAATGGGACTGATTAAATTTGCAAATTCATACTATTACATGGATCTCGCGTAGGTCTGATATATTTCCCGTGCAAAGGATGAGAATAGTCCAAGGATATCGGAGGTCGTCCAGGCTCACGATTCAAGCGCTTGCGTGTCTAAATGCAGGATGGATGGGTGGAACCGCGTTGCTATGTTACCTAGAGATTAATTTAAAATCGTTAGGATAGCTGCCCACGAGGATTCGTTATATTTCGAACTCTATTGTACGAGTTTTAATGAAGCACCAAACTGAAGCCATGGACTAGAGACAGTTTTGGGTGACTGTACCAATCCTCTACGAATCTTATACAATGATTTAAGAATCGTTTTTGTTCAAATCATTATTCAAGATTGAAATATAAAATTGAAACATTATTAAATAATAGAATTCAAGGATTTTCGCTCTGACAAAAATGATTCTTTAAAAACAAATATCTATTTCTGATTTCGCGGTATTACTTGTATTTTAAATATCTGAACACATGTTTTGACTCAGAGCGCGCCGCGGCGTTTCAAGACCGACATAGTCAAGTATACGTATTTGCAATCATATGAGAACGGTTTAATAAATATATCCTCTCTAGGGATGAGAACTGAGCTTTCGATCCAGGCAACTGAAGATTATCTACGTGCACAGTTTGCGTATGAAATGTAGATTAAATACATTAGACTGATACCTTGGGATTAGTACAAAATTGATATTTAGTGCCATAATACGTATAAAATATTTAGGAACATTACTCGCCGAAACTATTATTCAGTAACATAAAACGTGACTATTCAAGAATTATCTCCATAACACTGACAATGAGTCTTCTTCTAAAATAATATAATATAATTTGTACTTTTATGTCAGTACTTCAAATATCTAATCAACTTGTGTTTTTTAACACAAGGGTGGGACTTCTTACATTAAATTTTACATAGAAATGCATATAATTAGGTCGACTTGTAGGATTGCACAATATGACGCAATAAATTGCCCGGGAAAAGGACAAGGATCACACGTGACCAGACCAAGGGAGCCCGTGGCTGGAGGTGGGCAAATGGCATGTAGCGCTTGCGTATGAAATATAGGGCAAATGCGGGGAAATGCATTTCCGTAATACATCTAAAATAATATAAAATCGTCATACAGTAACATAAAAACAAATAAAATTGAACCACTTAAGAACCTCTCATGTCTATTGAGATTATTGTCAAAATTATTGTCAGGATTCAAAAATTGTATGTTTAGTCTAATTGTACTCTGCTTCGAAAATATTGCTACCTGAAATAAATTTAATAATCGAATAGAATTTATGTTTAGACGTGAAAACGTCTAATGAGACACGTGAGACTTGGATATTGAATTCGACGCAATTTTATTTAAACACAATCGAGATAGGAAGAGTCCATTAAATTCCCAGGGTAGATCCGATCATTTTACACTGGATCATGACAGCTTGGGATCGTCCAGGTCCAGGTGAAGCGCGTGCGTGTTTCAACCGACGCACGCATAGAGACGCGTTTCTGTGTGTCGAAACTAATATACCCATCGAATACACATATACCTATATATATATTTGTGCAATCAAGCAGGACGAGTCCAATAAATATCCCGGGCAAAGGATAAAAAGCTTTCGCCCTATCATTCGAGATCGTCCAGGTGAAGTGCTTGCGTGCTTAAATCAACACACCGATAGAGCCGAGTTTCAATGTATTGAGATTAATATCGCTCGTTAAATATATGCATGAATTTGCAATCGAGGAGGAGGAGTCTAATAAACGTCCCGGCTAAGGGATGAAAACTTCCCACCCTCTCAGTTGAGATTGCCCAGGGGAAGCTCCTGTGTATCGAAATGTAGGACAACTGTGACGCACCGCGATGCTGCGTTCACGTAAAGTAATTAACTGTGAAACGATTTATAAATGCCGAGACAGACTCGATTTATCTCATCCAGATTGTAAAATCCTATCTTCGAAACGATTATCTAGTAGCATACTTCAACAATATTAGAGAACTTTTATGTTCATATTATTAAATACGATCTTCTTTCGAAACAAAATGGTAATTTGTACGTCCGAACGTCCGAAATGATTTGTACCATTAAAGGCTGGACAGGCTTTTTGATTTAAGATGCGTGGGCACAAACATTTCTTGAATGCCTATTAATTACACGTGGCTGTACTCAAGCAGAAGGATCAATACGACCCTCTGAGACTCGAGCAGACAATGAAAATTTCAAACCAGATCAAGGCCAATTTACGTGGTGCCCGAAATGGAGTTATCTCATGAATGCCTTATCTGTAATTGACACAGAAACACAGTCTTGTCTATCAAGATTGGTATAAGAACGTCGCTTAATAACACAACGTGTACAGCAGTTTTATCAAAATCATTATTCAGTATCATAAAACGTCAACAGTAAGAATTTTTTCCAAAATTAAATGGATTTTGTATTTTTTATCGTGCAAATCATTTGTACTTTAATAAACGTCTAGATAATTCGTATTGCGACAAATGAGGATCTTACTGGATGCAGAGAATTAATTATGTGCAGCTGCTGACTAGCAAACAAGATCAGAATATTCTGGGAAACCTCCGGGCAAAGGATGAAATTCTGAGTCTAGATCAAGGCCACTTGAGGTGACCGAGATGAAGCGTTTACGTATTTAAATGCAGGACAAGTGTACTCAAACGCGACCTTACGAAGGTCTCACGTTTTGATAGTAC